TCAGTATCTTTTGCAATTTCCCGCCATCTAGAAGTGGTCCCCTCAATTTTGAATTCCTGGATCTGCCACTGACAGAGTAGGGGATTGTAATAGACACTGTAATAAGAATAAGAGTAGATGATTGTAAAGGATACCACCAGAATAAGAGTACAGAGGATTGCACTGGATAATTCACCACCTGAATAACCACGAAATAAATATTCAGACCATGTCTGTTTTTGGTGCACTTTACACTGATCCAAAACATTCATATGCTTTTTGTTATTTTATTGTTCATATCATTGTTTTATCATTATTATTTATAACTTATATTGTCATAACTATCATTATACTGTATTGTCATTGTAATCATAATGGTGATATAAAAATATCAATATAATCACCTTAATTCCTCCATTAAACATCGTGACAGCCGTCGTTGTACGTATTGTGCAATCTGTGTGAGGATTCCGAGACATAAACCTTGAAGACACAAAACATGGTGTAAAAAGCAGAGCCAAGACAATTATATATATTATCTTTAAATTAATATAATCCATTACTTCAAAAAATAAGTTCCGTTAAGCTTTACTTTTGAGTAATAGTACATATAACAAGGAGGTCTGAGGCCCATGACTATTGTGATTCATCTTTGCATTTTTTCTTAGTTGCATTCTTTCAAATTGAACCAAGTGTATGAAATGAAGATAATGATGGTAATCTTGCAATTTACTTACCAACTTAGAAGGGGAGAAAACAACCAAATATTTGTTGCAATAAAGCGGATCGGAAAAGGCATCTAGTGACAAACAACATAATATTAATAAGGGCCAGATTTGCATATACATGATGGTATTCAATTTATTATTATTAATTGTGAAATATAGATCGCTTTTATACAAGTTGATATACATCATTTTCCTAGCTTATCGATTATAGGCCTACATAAAAAAAACATAATCAAAATCTCCAATGATTGACAACATACTCACTGAGTACTGTGATACGTTTTTTAAATAACTGTATTAACTCACTTCAGCACTTAATGATTGGAACATGGCTTTATCCTCAAATAACTGTATTAACTCACTTCAGCACTTAATGATTGGAACATGGCTTTATCCTCATCTGAACCAAACTGGGATGGTAGAGGTGATGCTTCTATCCTGGTTGTCATTTAAAAAATTACGATTAATGAACATCAATTGTTTGATTTGACAGGCAGGGAAACTCAACAAACAGCTGGATAATGAAATGTATAACTGGTCTAATATTATTAATATTGAAAACAACAAAAGAAGAATCACCAATTGAAGAATGACCAATAGTGTCAAGC